AATGGTGAATATTAATAGTCACCTACAACAGTGTATTTAGGCACTCGCTCCACAGCATGCACGCGGAGGTTGGAGGGCAGCTTACAGGCTGGTTCACACCGTACCATGTGGGACCCAGGGGTGAATTCAAATCGGCAAGCTTGGTGGCAAGTGCCTTTACTGGATGGGTCATCTTGCTGGCTTTATAATTTCATCTTTCTCAACTGAAAACCCTCACTCCAACCCTGCTCTACCATGACAAAGTTCTAACGCCTATTCCACACTGGTTTCTCTGCTACAGCCTTTCAGCGGAGGAAGGACTAACCCACGTGACGTGTATCAAATGGGTCCAGCCTTCCAGAGCTTGAATACTGAAGTCATCAGAAAGGTCTGAGAGGAGGGAAGGGAGAGAGGGCTGGGAGGGGAGAAGGGAGGGGCTACAACTAGGATGTAAAGTGAATAAAAAATAAAAGAAAAGGTGACTGGGTCAGAGTGCATAGGTTCAAGTACTGCGCCTGCATTTTATGGTGTCACATTACACAATGTAACTGAAGACTCAGTCTTTTTTCACTATGATAAAAAGACAACTACTTAGGAAGGACTCAGGATCAGTAAATCAGGAAATACACCCAACCACATTTAGTAAGATGAATGTGCTGGTTAGCTCTTGTTGGAAACAGGATCTCAATGAGGAGTCACCTCGGTCAAACGGGCCTTCGGACATGTCTTTAGGGCGTTCTCCTGACTGCTTACTTGATGGGGTGCCTGGCCACTGTGGGCTGGACCACCCCTGAGTAGGTGGCTCAACTTCCCTCCTTGGTTTTGGCCAGTGTTTTCTCACAGCAACAGAGTGGAAACTAGGACAGTGTTCTATACAGTCATTTGCACAGATGGTTAGAGACCTTTTTAATGCTGGCTTTTCAAAAAAACTAAAACTTTTATTTTTATTCAGAACAGAAGCCTAGCATGTCTTCTGTTGGCTGTTTCTAGCCAGCACCTGAATGGCAATCTTCTGCCACACCACCGCTTCACATGGGAGAAGTCGCCACCAGACATCTCCATGCTGCCCTGACAGGGAATGTAATCACATTGTCACAGTCTGCTAGAACCCTTTGCTTTTCTTTGATGCTGTACAAACACGACTATGACTTTCTAACTGACACTAACCCTAGGCTGTATGGTGCCGACTAAGGTTAGCTCACCTGTCAACTATGTCCTGAAGTAACAACTGCAAGGTATACAGGGCAGGTAGCTTTTTTAATCAGCCGGAGAGAAGGAACCAGCAGAGAAGGGCAGCGAATCTCTTTCCTCAAGTTCAGTTAGCCTGGTTGTTAATCAATACTAACACACAGTGCCCAGGGAGGGAACCATTTCATTTGTCACTTATTGAAGGAGGTTCCTCTTGGTTGGGCTCCAAGTCAGCAGGAACTCACAAATCTCCTCACAGAAGTGTGTTTCCTGCTGTAGGCTGCTGAGTGCAGTCGGGTCCTGTGGTTGAGTAAGCAGGAAGCTGGATGATCTAAGGGATCAGAGACCTATCACAGCAAAGTCGTGACAAACCACAATTACCTCTGTTTTTCCTCATCTGCCAATAATATGATAAGAATATTTTACAGAAACCACAGCACTTCACCCTTGCAGATGGTCAGATCAAGGATACATTGGTTCCCTAGGAAATTTACCAGAACTCAGAGCAAAAAAGTCTGGGGAACTGCCTGGACCTAGCTACATACAGCGCCTGGAAGATGGCATCAAGGAAAGAGGAAATCTAAGTTTGGAGACAATTTGGCAGGAGCGAAACTGTACATTAAGAAAGAGGACACATGCCGTTCTAGCTACAAAACTAAAAGGCGGAAATTGGGGCTCCAGGCAAAGCTTAGACAAGAGGCGAATCAGTTCTCTTAAACAGTACTTTTTTTTTTTGGAGCTGGACAAGTGGCACATGCTTTAAATCCAGCACTCAAAAGGTTGAGGCATGAGGACCACAGGTTCAAAGCCAGCCTAGACTTCATAGAAAGTTCTCTCTTAAGACACCTCCACACAAACACACAAGTAAATTTTGCTTATGAGAAAATTTTTTTGGAAGTGTTATTTTATTTTCATTACTTCACTTTGTTTTCAATCCCAGAGACAAAAAGGACTGAAGGGACCCACAGTCACAATCCTCCTTGCTCAGCTCCTTCTACCCGCTGAGGAACACGGTGACCAGAGAGATATATGGTCAGGCATGACCTAATGGTCCATGGACCATTGCTAAGAAAACAGCTGGGCAGCTGTGGGCGCATGAAGGGCTCTTTTACTACTCAGTGTTAATGTAAGTAGTTCTCAATAAGCAGAATGCACGGTCCTAAATCCTTAAATCAGTCTAATGGCTTGTCTTCCTGACATTTTCTTTTTCATCTAAATCATTCTTATTTATTTGTGTGCATGTGGGGTAGGGGAGATGCGTGTGGAGTCTGAGAACAACTTTAGGAAGAGAATTCTCTCCTCCCACCCTGTGAGTCCTCAGGGTCAGACCTGGGTAGTCAGGCTTGGAGGCAACAACCTGCTAAGCCATCTTGACAGCCTATTGTCTTTTTGAAAATTTGGTCCAAACCATTAAAAAAAAAAAAAAATCCCTTAAAAATACAATTCCCCAGCAAAGAGCTATGGTTTAAACAAACAACAGCTTAATATCTAATTAAAACAGCTCTTATGTACCCGTATTAACTTCTCCCCGAGAAGGATTCAATGGTCAAACATATTTGAGGAAAAACCATATATAGGTTCCCCTTTTAATTCACAATGCAGATGAGAATTCGGAGAGCTACAAGGTTCCGTGCTATGCTGTTTTAGAAAGTCTTTCCAGGGACTGAGGAGACAGCTCAGTAGGTAAGAACGCTTGCTCTGCGGCTCTGGGACCTGAGTGTGAATCCCTGGCACCCACACAAGAAACGGCATGGCTGCCCACACATGTAACCCAGCATCGAGGGGTAGGGAGAAGAAGGTGGTTTCTGAGAGCTAGCTGGCCCAGCAGAAAAGGCAAACTTGAGGAACAGTGCGAGAGCCTATCCTAAGGCAATGTTTCAGCGACACAGGAAGACACCAATGTTTTGCTCTGGCCTCCACATGCAGTCACAAGTACACACACACACACACACACACACACACACACACACACACACACAGTATTTACAGGGCTCAGAAGAGGGCTCAGTGAGTAGAGCACTTACAACATAAATGTGAGTACCTATGTCTGAACCCCAAGAACCCACGTAAAGCCAGGCATGTGGCAGCACCTGTCTCTAAATGGCACATGGCAGGGGCAAACAGGAGACCTGCTTCTCCAAGACAGAAGAGGCCCACCAACGCCTGAGGCTGTCCTCTGACCTCCACACACGCACCACAGTACATGCACACCTGCACTCAAAGCACATGTGTGAACACACACATATACACACACAAGTATTTTTTTCAAATCTCTTTACCAAACCTGCTTTTCCTTCACAGAATACAAACTAGTGAGTTTTGAGAAGTGAATACAGAATACGACTGGAAAAATACAAGATCAAAAGTAAATCCCGATTAACAGGGCTCAGAAGAGACTATTATGGTAAGGTAGGCAGGAAGATGAAAGACTAGCCCGGTGCACACCTGTGATCCCAGCACAGAGGCAGAGGCAGCCGGATCTCTGTGAGTTCGAGGCCAGCCTGGTCTACAAAGAGAGTCCAGGATAGCCAAAGCTACACAGAGAAACCCTGTCTTGAAAAACAAAACAAAACAAACAAAAACAGAAAGATGAAAGATTAAAAAGCACACTCAGGCTGGAGAGATGGCTCAGAGGTTAAGAGCACTGGCTGTTCTTCCAAAGGTCCTGAGTTCAATTCCTAGCACCCACAGGGTGGCTCCCAACCATCTATAATGAGGTCTGCTGCCCTCTTCTGGCGTGTAGGCACATATACAGGCAGGATACTGTATACATAATAAATCAATCCTTATGTCTGTAATCCCAGCACTTGCGGAGGCAGAGGCAGGCAGCTCTCTGTGCGTTTGAGGCCAGCCTGGTCTACAAAGTGAGTCCAAGACAGGCAGGGCTACACAGAGAAACAGAGACCCTGTCTCATAACCCCCCCCCCCAGATTCTCTACATGTTTTATTTTCTAAAATTTTATTTATATATTTATTTATTATAATGATTATAAATACATTTTGTATCTCCGCTGCAGCCCCCTCCCTTGTCTCCTTCCAGTCTTATCCTCCCTCCCTCTTTTCTTCCCATGCCCTTTCCCTAGTCCCCTGATAGGGGAGGGCCTCTTCCCCTTCTATCTGACCCTAGTCTATAGGTAGGTCTCATCAGGACTGGCTGCACTGTCTTCCTCTGTGGCCTGGCAACCTGCACCCCCTGAGGGGGTGGTGATCAAAGAGCCAGCCACTGAGTTCATGTCAGAGAAAGCCCCTTCCCCCTTTAATAGGGCACCTACTTAAGAGACTGAGCTACCATGGGCTACATCTAAGCAAGGGGTCGAGGTCCTCTCCATGCATGGTCCTTAGCTGGAGTATAGTCTCTACAGGGACGCCTTCGTCCAGGTATTTTGGCTCTGTTGTTCTCCTTGTGGAATTCCTGTCCCTCCAGGTCTTTCTACATGTTTTAGTTTGTTTCTTTGTTTTCTTAGATAAGCTCTTGATGGTAGCCAGGCTGTCCTGGAATCTGTGGTGATCCTCCTGCCTCAGCCTCCCAGAAGTGCTAGGATGAGTATGGCTTTCCACTTTGTAGTTTTGTTCTAGCAGTGAGTCATTTTAATATTGTTGGCTTAGCAAATGGGCCCTATTCTATAATTATTGCCCATCTCTAGAGCACTGTAAGTTCTCTGTACCACCCAACCCCACTGGCCAAAAGAAACTGACAAAGCAGGAAGTTAAATACACCATAGGACTTTTAAGTTTCTCCCCACTAAGTAGTTGGAAGGAGATTAAGGGAGCTAGTGAATGGCTTCCTTACAAATGTTTATAAATGAGTGCACATCAAATGCAACTTATCTCACCAGCTCTGCAGTTCAGCGAAAGCTTGCTTCATCTTCTTGATGGATGCATCCATCTCTTCTTTAACTACAACTCGGTACCGCGCAAGAGACACAGTACAGCGCTGGAGGTCTTTCACGGACTTCTCAATATTAGAACCTTGGAGGGAAAAAAAAAAACTACTTTAAAAGGAACGTGTAAGTTAAAAGTTGGATATGATGTTTTAGGTCAAAGGTCATATGAACTAAGACTGTAAACCAAATGACCAACCACCCTTTCCAACAGAAAAAACTGTTTTGCAAAATTTCATGTTTTTTAAGTTAGTATCCTAAACAAAAGGAAGCAGTAAGAACTGGATTTATTCTCCCATCTTAAACAATCAACACACAACACAGACGAAATATATAAAGTAACAGTTCTTAGCAATGGACAGCAGACAGTTATTTCCCCTGAAAAAGCAGAGACAAGAAAAGTAAGGCCTATAATTGCCCCAACTTACTGTCTGGACAGTTTCTAAACTGCAATAAAGAGAAGAAAGCCCAGGCCTTTGTAGTCTCCCTGAACTGAAGAAATAAGGATAGAATTCCCAAGATGGGGCAAACAGAGGTCTATGCAAAGATGGAGCAACAGCAGGTAGACAGAGCCCTGCAACCTCGGTGCTAGCCAGTGCATGGTCACGAGCGTGCCAGCAGGTCAGCCAAGAGTGGACAATGGCCAGGCAACAGTTCATCCACATGAGCGAAAACAGAAAACCTCACAGTACATACAGCAGGCTGCCTGGGTGGACACTGCCCATCAGCGAGGCAAGGTTAGCCCTAGTTACAATATTTAGGTTCCATTAAAAAGTAACCATCACGGGCTGGAGAGATGGCTCAGAGGTTAAGAACACTGGCTGTTCTTCCAGAGGTCCTGAGTTCAATTCCCAGCAACCCACATGGTAACTCATAACCATCTACAATGAGATCTGGTGCCTCTTCTGGCTGGCAGGCACATATGCAGGCAGAATACTATATAAATGAGTAAATAAATCTTTTTTTAAAAAGTAATCATCAGGCATGTAAAAACAATTTTATAATTAAAAATAAACATGATCACTATGAAGAAAAAACCAACAGTAACAGACACAGAAATGACACATGCTAGAATCAAATATGAAGGGACATCAAAAGCTGAGGGTTTGGGATAGAGAGATGGCTCAGGAGTTAAGAGCCATCTCTTATGGAACCATCTCAATGGTTGCTCTTCCAGAGGACCTGGGTTGGATTCCCAGCAACCACATGGCAGCTCACAACTATCTGTGACTCCGGTTCCAGAGGATCCAATGCCCTCTTCTGGTCTCCATGGGCACTGGGCCTATAAATAGTACACAGATGTATCTGTAGGCAAAACACTCATACACATAAAATAAATTAAAAAAAAATTAAGCTGGCAATATTATGTCCGTGGTAGAGTGTTTGCCTGGCTTGCCTTGGGCGTAGTCCCTAGGACCATAACCAAATACGTGTTTTGGGGGAAATACCAAATAGCTACTATTAGACAAACACAGACCCATGTTAAGCAGAGATATAGAAGACATTTCAAAATTCTTCACCTGAACTTTCAGATATGAAAATAATAAACTGTTAAAAAAAAGCAGCGTGGCTTTGACGTAGGCCCCTGCATATGTGTAGCGGATGTGTAGCTTGGTGCTCCTGTGGGACTCTCTTTTGCCCTCTCTCGGGACCCTTTTCCTCCTGCTGGGTTGCCTTGTCCAGCCTGAATATGAGGGGAGGTGCCTACTCCAATGGCAACTTAATATGCCATGTTTGGCTGACAACCCTAGGGGCGGCTCTTCTCTGAAGAGAAAGGGGGGTGGATCTGGGGGAGAGGAGAGGTGTGGGAGGACTGGGAGGATGGAGGGAACATTGTGGTCGGGATGTAAAATAGGAGAATAAATTTTAAAAATTAAGAAATAGAGCAGTGACTCTTAAGGCAGCAACTTTAGAAAGTATTTTCAATGAGATGAAACAGACAAAAAATAAAGCTATTTCGTTTCTTTGTTTCTCTCACAAGTCTCCAATTTTTTGAGATCAGGTCTCACTTTGTAGCCGTGGTTGCCTTTGGAGCTCAAATACATACAGCCGGCTAGCATGGAGCTTGCAATGATCCTCCTCGGCCTGCCTCCCAAGAGCTGGGGTTAGACACAATTATTGGTATGTGTACATGACATGTGTGTAAGGATGGCACACACACCAGCACAGGTTAGAGGTCAGAGGATAACTCTCAGCCAAGTTTGTGGGTTTTGTTTTTGAGATAGGGTTTCTGCTTTGGATGACTCCCTTTGTAGCCCAGGCTGGCCTTGAACTCACAGGTCCGCCTGCCTCTGCCTCCCCAAGTGCTAGTATTACAGGCGTGCGCCACTGTGTCCAGCTCAGGCATGCACTTTTTATCTTTGAGCCATCTTTGTTAGCCCTGATTTTGTTTTTTGTTTTGGTTTGCTTGTTTTTGTTTTTTCCCAGACAGGGTTTCTCTGTGTAACAGCCCTGGCTATCCTGGTTATCTTACTTTTGAAACTGGCTCAGTCTCACATGGTCCTGTCTGGCCTTGGACTCAGTATGTAGTCAAATACGAGGTGTGGGTCACCACACTCAGCTTAAGACACACATTTTCTTTCCTCTCTTTTGTTTCTCTTATCGCAGCATCCAGTTTAGAACAAACATCTTCCTTCCTTCCCTTTTCCAGTCGCAAGGCTGGGAATCAAACCTAGTGCCTTGTACATGCTTCTCAAGTGCTCTTGCTGGTTTGAGACAGGACCTCAGCACACACACCCTAGGCTGGCCTCAACCTTGTGCTCCTGCCTTGGCCTCCCAATGTGCTGAGATCACACACCCAGCCCACACTATCAGCTTTATGTGTCTGCATGTGTGTGCATGCGGCGGTATGTGCCAGAGGTTGTCAGCTACGGGTGCCACCCTTAGCAGCCACCCATCTTCCTTATTTTTATCTTTTAAGATTTACTTTTTTGGGCTGGAGATGGCTCAGCAGTTAAAGAGCACTGGCTGCTCTTGCAGAGGACCCAGGTTCAATTCCCAGCACACGCATGGACCTGGAACACTTACAGCCATACATGCAGGCCTGAAAAAAAAAGTTTTTATTTATTTTATGTATATGAGGTTTTTTGCTTGCAGTGTGTGTGTGTGTGTGTGTGTGTGTGTGTGTGTGTGTGTGTGACCATGTGCATGCCAGTGTTCTCAGGTCAGAAGAAAGCACTGGATCCACTGAAACTGGAGCTGTATAGAGGTTGTGAACTCTACGTGGGAATGAGAACTGAGCCCTGGTACTCTGCAACACGGGGTTTTAATTGCTGAGTCATCTCTCCAGCTCTCTGCCTTGTTCTCTGAGACCTCTCTCCCTGGGATCTCACCTTGGGCACTCTAACAACGTAGGCTGGCCAGCCGATAAGCCCCAGGGACCCCTCTGTCTCCACAGCTTCTCATGCTCACGACCACAGGTGGCTTATCCACGTGGCCCTGGGCCCAAGCTTGGGCCTCACACTGCTCAGGCAAGCGCTCTGCTGACCGTCTCCAGCCCTACACTGTACTATTGGTACATCAGGCCAACCACAACCTTCACCAAGCAACCCCCTGCTTGAGCATCCGGAAAAGCTAGCCAGAAGCCTGTGCCAACGGACCCAGTTTAACTATTTAATATCAATTCCTCCCCATTCAAATCTCACTTCCTTCGGCACTTACCTAAGAGCTTTTATGCCCTGTGCAAACCTTCTTTATTTTGTGTGACTGGATGTTCTCAGGCTGGCCGTTTGGCAGCCGTCTGAGGCCGACTACCAAGATGAAAAGGAAGTGCTAAGTTAAATGCAGCTCCTGGGCTGGCACGATGGCTTGGAGGGCAAGGACCCTTGCTGCACACCTGACAACTGAGTTTGATCCCCAGATGCCATGGTGGAGAAACTGAACTGACTCCCAAAAGTTTTCTTGGACTTCCACACACAAGTATATAGTAGGCAGACAGACACAGAGACAGACATGTACACACAGGCATGCATGTGCACACACTCAGGCATAAGCGCACTCATACATACTCATGCGCACACACACACTCACACACACACATGTGCACGTATACACTCACACACATACACAGGCTCACACTGAAGCACATGCATACATGCACACTGAAGCACATTCACACACACACACACACACACACACACACACACACAGTTATCACTAGTTGACACTAAGTATTTTTATCTGTTCGTTTGAGATGAGGTCACACGCCTTAGCCCAGGCTAGCCTGGGAGCTGTGCTCTCCCTTTTTCAGGCTCCCGAGTGCTGGGACCACAGGCATGCTCTAAGCACTGCAACTCTGTGCCAAAATGATTATAACAGTCAAATGTTTTAAAGTAAAGCGCTACCACCAATTAGTAACAAGCATTTCAGAGGACACACTCTTGTGAAATCCTCAGTCTGCGGACGTCAGGGAGAGCACGAAGCCACAGAGAGCAGTGAACATGTCGTGTCAGACAGAGGTGCCGCCCGCTGACTCAGCGGGGACAGACAAGGAGAAAGCAGCACAGCGGCTGCAGCACAGCGCAGGGACACTCAGGCTGGCTACGTCATCCAGCACTCGCATGTCAGGGCTGCACCCGGCCCTCTCAGGTGCCCAACTGTAGCACGCAGAACGACAGTCTAGAGACAGAGACCAGCGCCCAGGGCCTTCAGCTACAGGGTCAACGGTTCTCTCCCAGGCAGGCCTTGGATTTACCTAGCTTTTTATTGGTGGAAGAGAGTGGAACATTCTCCATCCCCAGATGTGAAGCCTGAGTTCCTGTGGTGGCCCTGGAGAGAGACTTGGCGGCGTTCCGGGATTGCTGGACATTCGGAATAGAGTGTGTAGTCCTGGGCTCAAGGTCAGAGACCCCGTTCTCCAGCACGGAGCCTGTCCGGAAAGAGGACGGTGGTTTGCACCAGGGTGGGGGGTTAGCTGAGCCATCTTCAGTAAAGAAAGCAAGCAGGCAAATATGCTAGATCAAACCATACCTACTAAAAAGGCTTAGTGAAGAAAAAAACTTATAATGTCTCAGAGGGGGGAAGAGAATTTAAAAGCTTTAGAGTAGAGAAAGGGGAGAACTGGAAGATGGGAAGGAACCTCGTACACAATGGTCATCTTTGGTTTGATTTCTTTGCAGTCATGCACAGTGTTTTTTCCCTCTGCATCTTTTTAAAAACAATATGTGAATTAACCAATAAAAGAACAGCTATAAAGCAGAATAAAATTCTTATACTAGCTCACATTCTATTACCATGAATACTAAAGCAGAGGGAACAAAATTATTACGAAGTAATTTCTAAAATTTTTCAATGTTACATTTGTTTTATTATTTTGTGTATATGGGGTTTTTCTGTTTGTTTGTTTGTTTGTTTGCCTGCACGTCTATCTGTGTAGCACATGCAATCAGTGCCCTCAGAGGCTAGAAGAGGGCATTAGATCCCCTGGTACTTGAGTTATAGATGGTTGTGAGCCACCACATGGGTGCTGGGAATCAAACCTGGGTCCTCTGCAAGAGCAACCAGTGCTTTTAACCTCTGACCCTTCACTCCTGCCCCATACTCCAAAGTAAGTTATATTTTCTTTTCTTTTTGTTTTTTGCTGCTGCTGTTGTTGGGGGCCGGGTATCTTTCTACATAGCGTTGGCTGTCCTGGAACTCTCTATGTAGACCAGGCTAGCCTCCAACTCTCAGAGGTCTGCCTGTCTCTGCCTCCTGAGTGTGGGGATTAAAAGTGAACGCTACTATGCCCAGCTTCCAAATAAACAATTTAAAAAAGAGAAACAGTTTCTCCTCAGCCCTTAACAAAATTGTTAACAAAGATATGTACAAAAAACATGAACTTCTAATCGTTAACTGATCTTGACTATTTATTGGAAAACAAATGCAGGGGGTACACTGGCTGCTCCTGCAGAAGCCCCAGATTCCTTTCCCAGCAGCTCACAACCACACGTAACTTCAGTCCAGGGAATCCTACACCCTCTTCTGGCCTCGATGGGCACCAGGCACACAGACATACAGGCAAGCAGAACACCTATACAGATAAACAGATCAATCTAAAAACAATCTTAATAAAGAAAATAAACACAGGACTACAAAAGTAATCTTTGCCATGTGATATTGGTGCATGCCTTTAATCCCAGCACTCGGAAGGCAGAGGCAAATGGTTCTCTGTGAGTTCGAGGCCAGCCTGGTCTACAGAGTGAGTTCCAGGACAGCCAGGACTACACAGAGTAGCCCTATCTAGAAAAACAAAACAAAACAAAAAAATATTTTAAAAGACCCACAAAAATCTAGTTGTCAATAAAGATCTGATTAGTTCTGATTTACATATTCCTAAACTATGTCTACCTATTTTCTTTCTGTGCTGAAGACTGCTCAGCTAATTTGCCGCCCCCCCACTCTTCAACACTGTGCTGCCTAGACAGCCTCAGCCTGTCTCTGACTCTGAGCCTGAGTCTGACTAACTCTCCTCATGTGTTCCTGAGAGTAACAACATCTCATCAACTCATCCTCATTAATTTTTTAAATAATTCTATCACATTTTTAAAAAAAAATCTTTAAAAAAGTTACTCTCTTATTTCTAAATACTAAGGCCCCCCCTCAGCTCTCTGTTATTCAATGTCAGAAGTATTGGCACTACAAATTTTAGAGAAAATTCTGAGACTAAATAAATAAATAAATAAATAAATAAATAAATATAGGCTGGCCTTGAACTCAGAGATACCCTGTGAGTGCAGGGATTGCAAGTGTATGCCACTGCGCCCAGCTGGAATTCTATTTTTTTAAGTCTTTGGTAAGTTATTAAACATGAACTCTTCCACACAACAGATAACAAAAACCATAAAGTAAAATATCAAGTATACCTACTATAATGGTAAGTGTCTCAACCAGGAGGCCCCCAGTATTTTTTGAGTGAATTAACTTTCTCAAAATCTGTTATTAAACTCACCAGTTCTATCCAATGTATCTGGTGAGGCAAACTCAGGATCTTCCAGTTCTCTGGCATCTATTGAAAGTGTCTCCAAACCTTCACTGAGCGAGTCTGCAGAGTCCACATCGTGGATGGCACCATTAATGTGATACCCATTAATGTTGCCTTTCTCTGAAGATGCAGGCTGCTCCTCTTGAACAGGTACAGACTTACTGGAGTCTGGGACGCTGCTACTCGCTTCTGATGCAGGTTTTGGTTTGCTTTTCTTCTTTTTGTTCTAAGGTTATTGAAGATTTGAAAAAGAGAGAAAAAAGGGAAAGAACAGACCCTCCAATACTAGTCAAAGGGGCAACTAAGTGCAGCTACCAAAACAATCAGTTGCCAATTCTGCACATATTCTAGAAACTGAAGACGATTTTGTTTATGTTGAACCAATGACAAAAGTAACACTTCACTATGCAAAACTATTTTGAATGAACTCAAAATAAACAAAATAATTTTCATAGAAAAACCTACCCTAAGCAAAATAAAAAGTGAAAAGATGTAACTATATTTTTTAATGTAAAATATAAACAGAGCTTTAAATTATCACAATAACTAATTGAAAAACTATAACCTATAAATAATTGAATGAAGCACAACATCAGTCCAATAATCAACAAATAATGAAACCTGCACTGCAAAAGGTTTTTCACCTACTAGATTAGCAAAGGTCAAAGAGTTTAAATACATAAGGTCACTGGTTCCACCCAATATATAGCTTTGACTGCTCTGAAAATAGCCGGGCATTTTCATAAACACTAGTAGGAGTGAAAAATCTAGTAATGCTTTTGAAATTTACAAATGCACACACCTTTCAACCAACAATTCTAATACTAGCAATTTATCCTGGCCAGGACTGACAAACGTATACAGATTATTCATCGCAACAATGTTATATTAATATTAATAGATACTAGAAGCCATGCAATAGAGATCAGTGGGGGACTTACACATTACAGGATCTATTATAGGGAATGTGTAAAGAAGAAAATATATACCCATAATTGTTTATGTGACTCAAGTATCATGGAGGCTACATAAGAAATTAACAAGAGCACTTGCCTAGCATTCATGAGGCCCTATGTTTGATCCCGAATGCCAAAAACAACAACTGAGAATGAATGAATAAATCAATAACTGGGAGAGAAGTGGGGAGCACCCAATGGCTGGAGAAAAGAGATGGGATAAAGTTATTTCAGGGTATTAACATTTAAATTTGAACACGTGGATAAAAAAAAAGTCTTTGTCTTTGAACAACAGATAGCTGTACTGGCAATACTTAATTCTCCTAAGGCCGGATGGATAAAACTCACTCCTGCCAGTCCTTTAGCTGGCTCTGTCCAGCACGACAGCTCCTGAACTTGGCATTCACACTTCTCTCTTTATCTTGCTTTCTCCCATGTGAACAGGCCAAGTTTTCACACCATCATCCCACACATGTAATTAGTAGCACACAATCCTTCTTATTAGGCTAATCCCAACAGTTAGCTCTGACAGACTCGAGCACTGGAGAATATAAAACTAAATCTATTTTTCTTCCTCCAGATTTTAAGAAATTTGTATATACCTCATCATATACCTTTTCAACTATGTGCCTATCATGTGTTGTTAATAATTTGTATTCTGAGGTCAATAAATTAAGACACTGGTGTTTCCTTGAACACTCAAAGCTGTGTACGCTGGGTGAGATCAGTGAAACAAGGTTAAGCCTGGGGAGCAACAGGCATAAAAAGCTTCATGAGACTAAACAGAGTTACGTGCCTCTGGGGAAAAAATTCTCAAAGGTTGACAGCCAAACCTGTTCCAGGACAGCCAGAGCTACACAGAGAAAAACAAACCAACCAAACACACACATAAATAAGTAATAAAAAAAAAAAATTAAGCCAAACCTGGCTTGGTTAAGAAACCATTTCAGGGCTGGCCAGACTTCTCGGTGATTAAAAGCTCTTGTCACACAGCCTGACACCCCAAAGTTAGTCCCTGGAATGCGTGGGGAAGGAGAAGCACCTCCCCAAAGCTCTGGTCTGCACCAGGGTGCTAAGGCACATGCACAACACGAAGTGCGACTCAAAGCAAGCCTTTTAGAACACGACAGGGCCTCGTGTAGGAGGAGCTAACACTTAATGAAAATCTGCACATCAGCATTTCCAAGAGCACTCCATGTGGGGTAGAGCTGTGGGAAGAGCTATCAAGAATTCTGGATATAAGTAAGGGATTAAGAACTAACATATCAGGCATTATAATGAGAATGTATGTATGTTACTGTTATTTTACTTCTGTTGTTGTCTTTTTTTCTTTCCCCAGACAGGGTTGTGCTATGTAGCCCAAATGGCCTTGAACTCCTGATCCTCCTGCCCCACTCCACCACATCCATTCTTCTCCCTTAGAGGCGAGCAAACTGAAGTTGAACAACACCATAGCCCAGCTAACAAGGGTGGCTACAAGGCCAGCTAACGCAGAAGAGGACAAAAGCCAGTTCTGGCACACTGGAAGGACGCAGCCTGAGGGAGCAAAAGCTGCTAAGAGGGGCAGCTCGCAAAGTTGCCAGCCAACCCAGGCACCCGGGAAGCATGTACAGGTGAAAGGAGAGAACAAACCCCACAAAGCTGCCCTGTGACCTCTGGGAGTTTGTGCATGCACAAACACACAAACAATAAACGAATCCAGATAGACAGATAACAAGTTTTTAAAAAAGTGAAAACTCACTACTTCTAGTGACTATACCAAGGCTGTCTGACCTGAAAATCTCAACTGTCTGGCTAATCTAGGAAAGAAACCCTGTTGAAAGGCAGCCAGTTTCCCTGGACGCACTGTCTTGGACATGCTGGCTTGTGTCTACTCTTGTCTAGAGCGCTCCTAGCAACCGCAGCAACAAACTTAACTGTTTTCTGCTTTAACCACTGGGAGCACACTGTGCAACCCTCTGAAACACAGCATCTTTGAGATAGCGACAGAAGACATGCAAACCTTTTCTCTAAAGTACTACAGGACGTGAGGGTGAGATGGCTGCTGCGTGCCACCCCACTGTCCACCAGGGTGATTTGGCTGGCTAGGCAGGTGTGTCCCTCTGCTCTCTGCTGCAACCTCCGAAAGCTCTTAACTATTATCAAATACTCTTTTTAAATGATGTGGCACGCTCTGCCCTCATGTATGTCTGTGTACCACACATGTACCTAATGCCTATGGAGGTCAAAGAGGCCCAGATCCTCTTGCAGTGAAGTTACAGATGGTGAGCTGCCCTGTGGGGGCTGGGAAGCTCACCCAGACCCTCTGGAAGAGCAGTATGCTACTCTTACCTGCTAAGACACCCTGCCAGCCCCTTCAGCCTAATTTTAAAAATACAATATAAATAACATGTTCTTACATGTTATTCATTTTTACCTTTTTCTTGCCTTTTACTATCCATTCTTTGAGTACTTCACTGGCACTACCTGAAAAAGAAAACGATTAGAGATTTCATGCCACACACAAGTGCTGGACTGAGGCAATCACGTCACGCTGCTGCTGTACTAGCCCAGTGAGATCTGCTTCTGGTCATTTAAGATTCTTACCTACATATCTTAGTCTGAATATAAGGTGACTAGTCTTTACCCAACTTTGCCACCTCCTCCCCTCCAGGCTATATAGCATCTTGACTCCGGAGTCTGGAAAGAGCTGGATCCTATACCAGCTCACAGTATAAAGCAAGCATAATGGCAGAGAGAAACTGTAGAATATTCGGACTTTGTTTGTCCTCTACTTGTAAATTCAGGAGCATGCATCAGGGAGCCCTGACCTGACTGCACTCTGCTTAAAGGCAAGACAGGATCAGGTAAAGTTTTTTCAAACAAGTTACATGGAAAGAAGTTTAAAAAAACACTTATTAACTCTATAAATCTAAGGAGTTGGACAAGGCTGTCATTGTTTTGTATCTAACACATGAAACATGAGGAAACTGAAGTCATACATTTGGGTCACCTGCCAGAACCAAACTAAATCTCAGTGGAGTTTGGAAATACACGCTGATCCTTGAATTGCAATAGTCTCTTAAATTCTACTTAAAGCCTTTATTCAGCTGCAGTTTCTTTGTTTGGGAGGGGAGCATAATTTTTTTTAGCTGGGGTCTCTGGCCTGCCACTCACTATATAAACAAGGCTGGCCTCATGTCACAGTCCTGCTGCGTTCCCCTCTCAAACCCTGGGACTACAGCCATGTGTTCCAATTTCTTAGAGGCCAGAGAGAACATTCTTCATAATAAATCGTCTCTTCCAGTTTCCCACAGTGTGGGCACGGGAAAAGTAGCTCACGGCAACAAGCTTCACAGGAACTGCACTGTCCTGACAGCGTGCGCTACCGCTCAGGTTCCAAAGGTCAAAACTCGAGACAGATTACCTTCCATGAAAGCTTGTACTGTTTTGTCCACACAGTTATCAAAGTGCTGCAAAACCAGGATGATTTCATTGTTGCTCTTGTTAGGAACTATTGCACGCACTGCGTTTATCTGCAAAAGGTGACAGAGTCATGTAATTCCAACATGAGTAGGTCACTGGGCAGCTTAAGTATCAAGGCGAATAACAGCGTCATTTCACCCGCAGCAATACTGTCACTCTTTCACGTCAGAAAGAACACACACAAACAGCTCACTGGGAATAATACATAGAAAGTGATAGCACCACATGAAAACTTAATTCCAAATTTTAAAAAGGCAGGACATTTACAGAAATAAAAGGGGCCACTAAGATGGTCAGTGAATAAAAGCACTTAGAGTAAGCTGAGGATCTGAGTTCAAGCTTCAGAAGGTGCTGGGTATGGCGGCACAGGTCTTAAATCCCAGCACTCGGGAGGCAGAGGCAGTTCCAGAAGAGCCAGGGATACACAAAGAAACCCTGCCTTGAAAGACAAAACATAACACAACAAAACAAAAAAGGTAGTTTAATTTAGGTACCAGCTATTAATGAATCACTAACAGTTTAGTTTTTGGTTTTTATTTTTAATGTCTATGTGATATGGATTGTGAGTGTGGTATATGTGAATCTATGTGTGTGAGTACAAGCCCCCATGCACACTGTAGAAGCCAGAGGACACTGGCTGTTCTACCCTCTAACTCCCCACTTTATTCAGGGTCTCTCGCTCAACAGAGGGCGAGGCTGGCAGCCAAGAGGCTCTAGCAGCCCTGTCTCTGCCTCCCATAGTGTTGGGGTCACGTGTACACAGGTCTGTCTGCGTGTGGGCTCTGTGGATTTGAACTCAAGTCCTCAGGCTTGTACAGCAAAGGCTCTTACCTTCTGAGCTCCCTCTCCAGACCAACAGCTTAGACCTAACACAGCACTATGCAAAACATTCTTACTTTGTGTCATTTAGCTGTATAAAACTCTACAGAGATAACTTACAGAGATCATCTGAATTATTTTATGCTATTTTGAGCACATAAAACATAATGAACAACCAGTAATAACCCAGCTTAATAAAACAAAACCGATGCAAATGAAGCCCAATGAACATCTACTGAATCCCAGCTCCAGAAATTTCTACCAAGAATTGGTTTAATTTCAATATATTTGCATTTTTATGATATATGTGTATTTCCATTGGAAATACACTATCTTATATTATATAAATATTATTCATGCATGCTTATTTTCAATTTTTGTCGCACAGCATTTCTCCATATTGATAAGCACGTTATTCATATAGCTTAACATATATCTATTATTTACACAGTTTAACACACACCATATATATATATATATACACACACACACACACTGTATATGACATTCCTACTGTACAATACACCTAGTTTATTCATTCTCCTGTTGATGGATAATCAGACATTTTTGTTTGTTAGTTTTTTGTTTTTGCAGGGCTGGAGATAAAACCCAGGGCCTTGTTCCTGTTAAGCAAACACTCCGGAGCTAATCTTGTGTTTGTCTGCTGCTGAATCCTTAGTGCCTAGAACAGTGTAAAATCAGGTCTTCTGTGTGCCTCTCAGAATTCTGACCAGCACAGGACCTACACCAGTGCGTCATTGATAATGTCAAACTGTCTGTAAAACAGATATACCCAATTGTCCTGTGTTTGTGTGGGTCTCACTATGTGGCCGTGGCTGGCCTGGAACTCGTTCCTCAAACTCATGGATACTGCCTGCCTCTGCCTTCTGTGTGCTGGGACCAAAGGCACATGTCATCATGCCAGGCATTTCATATTTTGTATTTTATATTAAATTAAAAATATACAGTTTATAGGGGCTGGAGAGATGGCTTAGTGGTTAGGAACACTGGCTGCTCTTCCAGAGACCCCTGGTTAAGTTCCCAGCGCCCACATGGCAGCTCACAACTGCCTACAACTCTAGTCCAGGGGATCTGGACTTTGCAGGCACTGCATGCACATGCACCCACATACAATAAGACAAATAAAAGCACGTAGTTTATAACAACTGAATATTCATGGTACGTGTGTGTGCAGGCCAAAGGATACTCTCAAGGGCCCATCGCTCCTTTGAGACAGGCTCTGACGTGCTGGGCCGACCAACCAAGTCCAGGGGTTCATTTACCTCCACCTCCCCGTGCTAAGATTTCAGTGCGCACTTCCACACCCAGCTTTCTTTCTGTATGATGCTCTCTTCCCACTTCCACATACATGGTACACACGCAGCCAAACACTCATCTACATAAAATATATAAATCTAGAAAAACTTAAAGAACTGAGCTATCTCTCCAGCCCCAAACATTTTATCATGTATCTATTTTATATCAAGCAATTTCAATGAACTTTTTAAAAATAAACCCTTGTGTGTCCTACTCATTTGCTGTTTTCATAGACTTTTCTGTATAGATAATTATATTTTCTTCCTTTTCAAGTTTACTTGTCTCACTGTACATTGTATGATTAATTTCTTAAGGAAGTAGTAAGAGTGCTTTTGGTAGAAAACGGTAGAAATCAGTATCTGGGAGTTATCTGGCTTATTGCTACTAGTCAGTCCCTGTAATCCTTGCAGTAGATACAGCTAAGACACTCTCTCTGTTAAGCCATGAGTTCACACTGACACAAATACAACACTGTCACAGAATTTTAGATATATATTTTTCTCTTAGCCTTTATACCCTAACCCATTATCATGTGTAATTTAAAAAAAAAAACAAAAAACAAAAAACAACACATTAAAAATTTTGTCTCTGAACCAGGTATGGTGGCACATGCCTTCAATCCCAGCACTTGGGAGACAGACACAGTCCCTATTTCTATGAGTTTGAGGCCAGCCTGGTCTTCATAATCAGTCCAGGACAGCCAGGGATACATAGAGAGACCCTGTCTCAAAGAATTAAAAAAAGGAGATGCACCCTGTCATATAAATATTAGTAATATTAACAAGACACTATTTTCAATGTCGTCAAAGAATTTGGAATAAACATATACGGAGATGTCCAAAGACAATCATTTTTGCACCTTTTAACCAGTTGATTCTTCACAGCCACTGTGGCAATCATCCTTTAATTATAGAGTGGCATTCTGTTTTGTTCCTAGGATTCCATTTTCTTTTTTCTTTCTTCCTTTCTTTTGAGTCTGGTCTCAACTTTGTAGTCCTGGTTGGCCTGGAACTCGCTCTACAGACCAGATTGCTAGTTTCACAGAAATCTACCTGCCTCTACCTCGGAGTGCTGGAATTAAAGGCCTGAATGTGTCACTACATTCATTTTCATAACACATCTGTGGTAGTCACTGCTTATATTAATAAATTTTCCTCTGGTGTTCAGATTTGTTATCAGTCTTACCTTCTCCTTCATGTTCTCAAAAGTGCCTCCCCGGGCCAGTACAGTATTGGACTGCAAATCAAAAATGAATCCTGATGAATCTGAAAGAATATAAAGGAAAATATTCAATTTGATATAATCTGTGTATTTTATTCACCCAAGACAGACCAAGACTAGCTACTTTTTTCCTCATAAAATTACTAACAATTTAGTTATACTTGGGAAATTCCATTACACAGATAGCTCATATATAACTATATTCTGAGTTATATATGATAAATAAAATTTTATTTTTTTTAAAATTTACTTTTTTTTTTAACCAGGTGTGGTGGCACACACCTTTAATTCCAGCACCTAGGAGGCAGAAGCAAGTGGATCTCTGTAAGTTCCAAGCCAGCTAGTCTATACGGTGAGTTCCAGGATAGCCAGAGCTACATAGTAAGAGCTTGCCTCAAACAAACAAACAAACAAACAAACAAACAAACAAACATGTTCTTTTGCACATGAGCATTTGCCTGGATGTATGTATCTGCACCATGTGTGCCTGGTGCCTGCAGAGGCCAGAAGGGCAGATTCCCTACAACTGGGGGTTTGGATGGCTGTGAACTACCATGTAGGCACTAGAACCAAACCTAGGTCCTTTACGAGAGCACCAGTTTAAAAAAAAAAAAAATTTAATATTAGTTACAGTTTGTTAACTTGTATCCCTGCTGTATCCCGCCTCCCTCTTTCCCTCCTAATCCCACCCTCCCTCATCTCCTCCCTGCCCCTTTCCAAGTCCACTGATAGGGGAGGACCTCCTCCCCTTCCATCTGACCCTGATTTATCAGATATCTTCAGGACTGGCTGCCAAGCCCTCCTATGTGGCCTATCAGGGCTGCTCCTGGGGGGGGGGGGGGGTCAAAGAGCCACCATCGAGTTCATGTCAGAAACAGTCCCTGTTCCCCTTATTAGGGTACCCACTTAGATACTGAGCTACCATGGGCTGTATCTGAGCAGACGTTCTAGGTTATACCCATACATGGTCCTTGGTTGGAGAAACAGTCTCATAGAAGACCCCTGTGCCCAGATATATTTGGTCCCTGTGGAACTCCTGTCCTCTCCAGGTCATATTAACTCCCCCTTCACCAAGTGCTTTCAACTGTTTATGTTTTAAAGTATGTTTTGAGGAAACTAGCACTACGCCAACTATATTAAAAATACTCTATAATCCTTAATCTCTTTCTTAATTATCCCACCTTAATCTATGAGTCCCCCCCCAATGTTATAAGTAACTGTGACACTGTGAGTAGAGACAGAAGCATCTCTAATTAATAAATACTCTGTCTTCTAGACGGCCTGTACATATTCTTAGACTGTGAACTCATGAATACGTTCACTGACTGATGTCCCCATCCTGATGTGTGATAAAGCAACATATTTAAGTTTATATTACCAACCCTGTATCGAGTTTGTATTCAGCAATGAAACCGTACTCCATAGTTCCTAGTTGCTATGGAAGATCCAAGTTTTATGTTATGATTATATTTGAGTACCACAAGTGTGAAAGAGAACACAAATAGAGCCCACGTCGCTTTTGAAACTATGCTTGCCAGTTACCAACAACGCATGAATTCACTTAGATAGATAACCTCTGTTAATAAAAAGGATGAGGTGCCCCTCACACAAACTTGGTGAGTGAAAGCCTACGTCTTCTAGATGACCACATACATGGTTAGTTCTCAACTGTCCTTATCAGTTGAAAGAGCTGCAGTCTAGAAAGAGGAGGACCCTAAACAGCCAAAGCACCACCACCTAGAAACCGCCTCAGCCTCACTCTAGCTCAGCCAAATGATATAACTGGAATGCTGCAGTGCATTCCGCTCAACCAAAGAACAACCATGAGCAGTGGGATGATGCCGAGGCACCAGGCGTGCTTGTGTTACTAGAGACTCAAGCCACTAACCTCTTGGGGGGGAGGTGACACTTAGAGCCTCTGGCCTCCACAGCATGTGAACACACAGGCATCTGCACCACACACACAAAATCTAAGTCGGAATTTCATTTTCTTCTTAGCTGTGGTAAGAGCATGCTTGTTGTTGTTGTTGTTTAGGGTGTGGTCCCCTGCCCCTATCTCCCAAGTGCTGGGCTTTACAGTGCAATCCTGAGCTCAAGAGGGAATTTAAGTCCTCCTGTTTGCACTACAAGCACTTTTCTGAGCCACTGCCCACCAAATGCTCAAGAGCCATGAACCACCTCTCCAGCCACCGCCCCTTTTTATAATGAACCAATAAAGTTCACTGTAGTTGTCATAGGAGCATGGGAACCTAACCAGCGACTATACCACCAAGAAAATGTCCTCCTCCCTCATCGACCTCGGGGAGGTCCCATGAGCCCCTCCCTCTTTCATGAAGACAGTATAACAGGCTCAAGCTCGGGTAGATTTTGTGGAAGTTTTCACAGCTGCCATGAGGTCAAGAATGTAGCAGGCATGCTGCGTCCTTCCTCCCAGATATGCCCTGGGCCTTGGAGGAAGTGATATAAATATCCCATTTATGGCTGAGCATTCAACAGTCACTTATTCTCTGCACTCTGACCAGTTATGAGTCTTCAGAGATACATTTTTAAAGAAAGAAATTGTGTTAAATTATTCTCAGGCAAGATTCAAAAAAGATGAAGAATCCCAGCCCCCTTTGGTAAAAGCTACCCATGCTTGACTGGGCCTTCTTATTATCGCTTATTTCAGTCTATCAGGAATCAGCTTGGAATTTTTTGAGTTATTTCAAATAGCACACATTTAAGACTACTCAGAAAAAATGTTACTTGAATTTCTACTGACGTCTTCATAAACATCGAGTTTTGTTTTGATTTTTTTTCTTTTTTGGTTTTTCAAAACAGGATTTTTCTATGTAGCCCTAGCTATCCTGAAACTCACTCTGTGACCAGACTGGCCTTGAACTCAGAGAGCTAACTGCCTCTGCCTCCTGAGTGCTGGGATTAAAGACGTATGCCAACCTCCTACCCCTGCATATAAACAATGAGTTTAAATTATTGTTTTGTGGGCTTCAAAACCTAGGCGGAGAGCTGGCTGAGCTGACACATGCCTAATACCAGCACTAGGGGAGGCGGAGGCAGAGGCAGGCAGATCTCTGTGAGTTAGAGGCCAGCCTGGTCTACAAAAGTGAGTCTAGGACAACACAGAGAAACCCTGTCTTGAAAAACAAAACAAAACAAAACAAAAAACAGGCAGAGGGTTTGTCTTACAACCTCAGTACCTGGATGGCTGAGGAAGGAGGAGAAGGAAGAGTGAAGAGGAGGGGAGGAGAGAGGAAGAGAGGAAAGAAATCAGGCAAAAGTTATTTTAGGCCTGATGGTGACAAAAAAAAAAAAAAAAAAGAAACCACAGAAAACATGCCCTGGCATAGAGGTGGGGCAACTGGAACCGTGGTGCATCGCTGTTGTAATGAAGGAACTTCTACTATGAACCGAATGGCGGTTCCACTCAAGATTAAACACAACTACTATTCAATCAACCCCACCTCTGGGCATATGCACGAAAGAGCTGAAACAGAGCAACGCAAATATACTAGCTTAATGTGTGAGCAAATAAGTATTAGCCTCTCAAACTGTATGGCTAGAAACACTCAATAGCCAGTGGTGGCACACGCCTTTAATCCCAGCACTCAGGAGGCAGTGGTAAGCGGAGTAGAGGCAAGTTTGGTCCACACAGTGAGTCTGAGGCCAGCCAGAGTTACATGGTGAGACCCTGTCTCAAAATAAATGTAATAGTAATCACCATCATCACCACCACCACCATCACCACCACCACCATCATCACCATCATCACCACCACCACCATCATCCATGCAACAGACTCCGTCAACACCTCGTACGGAGCAGGGATTACTAAAACTCCCACTACCTTGCACTTGCCCTAAGAGGTTAGCCTGAGCTTACATCATGAATGCACAGAGGCTCTCCGAAGTTCTGATGGGAATTTTACTAGCAGATTTCTGTTCATCAAGAGGCCAGCCCACCCAATGCTAGATGCTTCCAGCAAAGTGAAGGATCAGATGACGCAGCTCAGGTGTGGAGCGAGTCTTGGGGAGCTACTGAAGTTGTATCTTTTGTTTAGACTGCCTGCACCACTTCCCACGGATACAGATGAGGACAAAGTGAGGCTAAAAGTGCGATTATGATCTCTCTGAGGACCCATCCCATACTCTGCAGTGCTGGGCATCAAACCCAGGGTTCCTGCATGCCAGGCAAAGGCTCCACCACTGAGCAACACGCCTGGTCTGAGGCCTGCTTACTTTTTCATTGATGAAAAACTGAGAACCTTAGTCACAGTCCTATCCCTGTCCACAGTGACACACCACGTCCTAGCAGTGATCAGGCGGAACACACCAACATCCTAGTAGTGATCAAGGGGTCAGAGTCCTGTTGTATAGCACTCCTGCTGTTGCTCATTTGATTACTTCTCAGGGTTCCGTGATCCCAACAGCGTTTTGGCACATAAACTTCCTACAGGTTCTTGCTGTAACTCACTGATACTCCTCACACAAATACAAAGCAAGATGAAGAACAGTAAGATGAACATTTTACCATGACCAAAGAAAGGTGAGAAAAGTAGATCCAGTTAAATGCAGGTAAAGTTAGAGAGGAGGCGGTCTGGAGGTGGGGCTCTTGCTAGCCACCTTCTGTCTATTACTCAAATCCCTTTTGAAAATGAAGAAGCAAACAGGGTGGAGGTGCACACCTGTGATCCCAGCACGTGGGAGGCAGAGGCAGGCAGATCTGTGAGTTCAAGGCCAGCCTGCTCTACACAGTGAGTTCCAGGACAGCCGGGGCTACACAGAAATTTCAAAGTAAATAACTAAGCAGGCAAAGGTCTTGACGCCACGCCTCATGACCTGAGTTGCATCCCTGAGACTTAAATGGCAGGAGAAAATCCCGCAAGTTCTCCCCGGAACACGTGGAAGCTGCACCACACACACGTCCCCACACATCTACACTCACACACAGCTGTGTCACGCACACGTCCCCACTCATATACACACTCACACACAGAGCTGGGTCACGTACACATCCCCACTCATATACACACTCACACACAGAGCTGGGTCACACACACGTTTCCACACAGATACACCCAAAGCCCTGCCATGCACGTGTCTCCACACAGGTACTCTCACACACAAAATAAATAGGCAAACTTTTTAAAAATGCAAACTAAAGCCGGGCACAGTGGCGCACACCTGTAACCCCAGGACTCAGGGAGGCAGAGGCAGGCAGATCTCAGTGAGTTTGAGGCCAGGCTGGTCTACAAAGCAAGTCCAGGACAGCCGGGGCTACACAAAGAAACCCTGTCACACACACACAAAGCAAACTAATATAAAAACTCCTGCAGAAGAGGTCACTGCAGGAAGTGAACATGTGACAAGCAAAGTGAGTGTTTCTCAGCCAGTGTCTCCTCTGACACGTGGTCTGCCAACTAGACTAGGCTGGCTAGACAGCGAGCACCAGAAATCTGTCAGTCTCCCTGGCACTGGATTACAAGATGGACGGGAAGGATAAAAGGAAAGAAAGAAAGCAAAGGAGAAGGAAAGAGGAGGAGGACGGCATAGAAGGGAGGAGAGAATGGAAAGACAGGAGGATGTACGAACGGATGAGGGGACACAGCAGAGGTAACCTACATGGCAGTTCATAGAACATGGGTCGGGAAGTTGCCAGATACAAATACAGAGCAGGTAAGGGCGTGTCTTAGCTCCTTCCTTATCAATGAGCCTGGGACCTGCTTTCCTCATGCCAGCTTGGAGAACAATTATAAAATTCTATGTGCAGCTGTCTACTGGGAGATGTAGGAGCCAGTACAAGTGGAAGTGTGAAAGCTACTGTTGCCAGGTGGGACGGTGCCCAACTTTAAGCCTACTAGTGAGGCAGCAGCATGCAACCTCTGAATTTGAAGCCAGCCTGGTCTGCAGAGAGACTGAGTTCTAGGACAGCCAGGACTGCACAGAGACCCTGTCTCAAAATAACAACAATAATAATAATAATAAAGTAAAGGAAGGAAAAGACAGACAGAAAGACAGAAAGAAAGAAAAGAAAAGAATGGAAAAGAAAGCTACTGTCACAGAGATTCTAGCCAATGCTTAGAATATTTTCAAGCTTCAAAACTGGTCACCAATTTTAGCGTCTTGAGTGATAACCTTCTCTTCTGCTAATGGTACTTAATAATGAAGAAAATAAGTATTGTGGTAAGAAAAACAGGCATATAGAAAAATAGACAAAATACAGGGTTGAGGAGATGGCTCAGTTCGTAAGGTACTTGCTATACAAGCATGAGAACCCTGGTTTAATGTCCAAGACTGAAGCTGAGCTCGGTGGCATGTGCCTGCAAGTCCAGCACTAGGGAGGAAGAGAGAGGTGGGTCACAGGAGTTTGCTGGCCGGCCAGCCTCACTGACAAGCCACAGGGCACTGAAGACCTTGCCCCAACAACGAGGAAGGCAGTACTTACGAAGGAACAAGCCTGAGGATGTCCTCTGTCCTGTGTACACACATACACATCAAACAAGCAAACACACAAACTCTCAAAATGTATAAATAACGGAGAATCGTGCTTGGAAAGGGGGCAAATCAGAGATGGGAAATTTAGACAGACAAAATGCCACTTGATATGATTTCTAGTTTGCTCTAAACAGAACCACTACAATGTGTTATGACAGACTCAATAAATGAAAACACTTATATCGAAAAAAGAGGCCACGAGTTTGAAAGAGAGCAAAGAGGGCTACATTAGAGGCTGAGAGGAAAGGGAAGGAGGAAGTAATTTATGGGAAAAACCAAAAGAAATAATTTTTTAAAGCCCTGTATCTTAGGGCTGGACAGACAGTGTTGGGCCCCCCAGCTAAGGTTGCAGTCCTTCGTGACCAGAAAGCCCTGAGCTCATCGAAATGGAGGACTCCCTTTGTCAATCGGGGCTCCCTCTTCTCTGCCTGATCTGGGGAGCCCAAATACCCACACCCTCTACCTGAGGAATGTCAGTAGTCCTCAGGGATATTACAGGTCCAAATCCCAGCAAGCACCCGGGATTCCTAGAACGGCTCTCCACGGTAACAAGGTGTGTCAGTACCTTAGCCCCTCAGCCAATGACCTTCACCCACCCTGGACAGCCCCACCACTTCCGAAAAGTTCTACATAACCCTCCTTCACCCCAGAAAAAGCTCATCTGCCTCCCTGCAGCTGATCCTGCAAGATTTTTCCGTTTGTGCTCAAAGGCCACCAAACCCCCAGTCAGTCACTTCTGCTCCCTGTTCCTGAGGACAGGTATCCAACGACCCCAGGAATGCGGGAGAGCAGCAGGACACTCAGTGGTTAGGGGCACCTGCACGAAGTTGCCACCTGTGACCCCGGTTTCAGGGAACCTGACCTGCTCTTGTGGGCTGCGTGGGCACTTGCACACACGGCGCACATACGGACAAGCACACATGCACACACACACACACGCACACATAAAAAGTGAAAGTGACTCGGGGTAAATCAGCCGATTTACAGATGCTGGACTTTTCAAGCACAATTGCAGGGAAATCATGTGACCTGTCGACTAAAAGGAAATAAACTCAAGTTATAAAACTTTTTTCCAGTTTGTAAGTAATTCCACAGAACAGCTTCCCTTTTGAAAAAACAAAAAATAATGATCTAACCATTCCTTACAGCTTAAGCTTTCTTTATGAAAATCTGTTATATGGTGAAAATACAGCTTTCAAGACTACAAGTAGCTCTGGCATATTATCTTCTTGTGAGGTTTTTGAACTGTCAAATCAAAATTAAAGCATTTCCACCATAATTAATATGGGAAGACCTCAATCAATGGAGTTGTTTTGAATTAAAGAACATTATGTTGAAAATTAAAACAAACAAGTGAGAGACGTCAAGGCCCCTCTGGACACTCTAAGCGAGCACAGCGGTCATGTGCAGCTGTCTCCTGCTGTGGTGTCTGCAGCTGCGCTCACTTTTGGAAAGGGGTTTTACAGCCTTTGCTTTGCTCGCCCTCGTTATAACCTCTCTTGGTACTTCCTGCCTGTATCTTCCATTTTGCCAGAGAAGCTGATCTGGAGAGAAAGCTAAAGAAAGAGACAAAGCCTGGAAGCACTCGCTCTCACCCCATTTCCTTTCCCTCCGAGCATGGAGCATCACAGAGGAAGCTGTCTCCTACCCCCACATGTGCCCACCCTACAGGTCACACCTCGCTCTCTGACTCACTTCTTACAACTGGATAAATCGGCGTACAAGAGCACTTTCCAAGGAGATCTATTCCCAGACCTACTTATATACCAAACTAAAACCTACTACAATACTTGCAAAATCATCCAGAACATGTCACTGAAGGAACAGTTTCCAAACACGCAGACGGAGTGAGAAGAACTGCTCCTCAACCGTGCTTTGGCTCTAACTTCTTGCGGTTCCAAGGGATCCATTCAGGCTGGCTCATGTGTGCCAGGGAGGACTTGACCTCAGCCATAGGCTTTCGGTTTTGCTTATTCTCACAGTGCTAGGGAATTAAACCCAGGGCCCTGTGCATGCTAGGCAAGCGCTCTACCACTGAGCTACACACACCCTCAGATGGCAACAATTATTCTTTTAACGATTTGTGCACATGTGTAATCTTACCCTTCTGGCTTTGTTTCCTAGACATTGCAGTTTTCTCACGCTCAAGGGGAAAAAAAGAAGAAAATATCTTTGTCCAAGTTCTGGGACTCCTGCTAATTTAAAAGTGGGCAACACAAGTCTGTAGTTGGATAAATACAAAATCCTGGTTGTTTAAAATTCTGTTCACCAGTTGTTAATTTCTTCTCCTTTTCTGGTAGCAACTTTTTGTCAGGATGTATCATTGCAAACAGTCATGTCTTTTTCCAGGGAGATTCTAGAAGAAAGAATACAAACACATTTACAATTACAATAAAGAGTATCAGTTAAAAACTGCACAAGTGACATTTGTGGGTTTTGAATTTCCGAAAAACTAGTTTTACTTAATGAAAGCACCATTTTCTAAAGAAAGCTTAATCTTAGGATCATCTTAGTTGAAAAGTATACTTTTGCCTCTCTGTGGGACTTGCTAGATCTCTGGCACTTTGACCTGCCCACATGGCACAGAGGTATAAGTATAGTCCCAACCCTTCACCAAAGCATCTTTTTGCAACACACGGAGATTATTACAGAAAGCCACAACTGATCAAAATGCAAAGAACTACTCACCTGGAGTGCCCAGCCCAAACTGATCCATCTAAACACAACTCCTATACTTAAGGCTTGGGGACACTGTGGGACACTGGGTGGAGAGACTGTTAAGAGGCAGAGGACCAGGTGAGATTCAAGACTGTGTCTAGATATGACAGGGAAGCTCTGCCCACGATCCTCAACTATAAATATAGTTGCCCAGGTAAGACCTGAACAGTGACAGCTCCCTTTGTCAGGGCATGGAGAAGGGAAAACCCTTTAGGCTCCATCCTTCCATGAGGAAATAAAGGCAATTAATAGCTGCTGAGAGAGGGAGAATTAGTCTTCCTCAGGGACGAGCCCCCTAATTGGTTATGCAATCCCAAGGGGTCAGCCCTGAAAACACATACATAAAAGCAAAGCTAAATGGACTCAGCAAATTGTATCTGTATACTTACTTGCATACAGACATGTAAGAATAATAATTAAAGAGGCCATTTGAGATAGGAGGGAGGTAGAACACACGAGAGGTTGGAGGGGAAATGACATAATTGTACTTTAATACATTTTAAAAGGGTATCTTCATTTTTATTTTGATTATGCTGTGCAGTATAGGTGGAAGTAGTATAAAATCAGCCTTCTGCCAGGCACAGCAGTGCACACCTGCAATCCCAGCACTCAGGGAGGCGGATCTCTGTGAGTTTGAGGCCAGCCTGATCTACAAAGCAAGTACAGAACAGCCAAGGCTACATGGAAAAACCCTCTCTTGAAAAAAAAAAATACTGGGAGAGGGAGTTGGTAAACCAGCATGGTGGTGCACACCTTTAAGCCCAGCCTGGTCTACAGAGCTAGTTCCAGGATAGCCAGGGCATCACAGAAAAATCTTGAAAAAAAAAAAATCTGAGTGTTGGGAGTAGCTAGAAAGATGGCTCAGCAGTTAAGAGCACTGTCTGCTTTTCCAACGGACCCAAGTTCAGTTCCCAGAACCCACATGGAGACTAAGAACCATCTGTAATTCCAGTTCCAGCAAATCTGACAATATCCGGACTCCCTAGGCACCAAGCGTGCATGTGGTACACAAACATGGAGGCAAAACATCCACATGCATAAAATATAATTTTAAAATTTTTCTGGAGAGGGCTGGTCCAGGTGGCAGGCTGACCAGCTCAGCTACCACCCAAGCTCAGAGCCAGGCTTTCAGTTGACCCACCCCAAAATCTACCCCACCTGTGAACCCCTGGAGTCTTGCAGGATCCCCACAACCCCAGGACACCAGCAGGATACCCGAGAGGAGTCCCAGTGAGAGCCAGTACTGACGGTGCAGCAGAAGCCAGAGGCCTGTTCGAGGCCCGAGGGGACACTGTGTGACAAACAGTGACACACCAAGCTTCCATGGCAAGATGGGTTTTGGTTTTAATTTTTATTTCGTGGGGAGAGGTTGCAAGGGCAGAAGGCACATATGAGAGAACTGGGAAATGAGTGGGATTAGTGTGAATAATATGAAATTCACAAAGAATCAGTAAAAATTTATGTTGAAAAAGGTTCTAAGCTGGGCATGGTGGCGCATGCTTTTAATCCCAGCACTTGGCAGAGGCAGGGGGATCCCTGTGAGTTCCAGGCCAGCCTGGTCTACAGAGAGAGTGCTCCAGGACAGCCAGGGTTACACAGAGAAACCCTGTCTCAAAAATCAAAACAGAACAAACAAAAGGTTCTGGAGAGGCTGGAGGCCCACTAGTGATTAAGAGCGCTATCTACTACCACAGAGGACTGCGTTCTCAGCAGCTACATGGCAGCCCTCGACCACCTGCGACTCCAGCTCCGGGAGATTCTGGCCTCCTCAGGCACAAGGCACACACACAGTGTCCATGCATATATGCAGGGAAAAGACTCATATACACAGAATAAAAATATTCCGGGGAAAGATTTTGTTGGCGCTGAGCTGTGCATGTCCACACTTCTGTCACTAGTCTCTGAGCACTGGCCCCGTCTCAGGCATTACACATACTCTAGGGGTGGTTAACGGGGATGATGCACTTACACGACAGTGCTTACTGCGGTGCATGAGCACACGCGGCATTTGGACCTGGAGACGGTCTCAGCATGGTCACGCGCGGCACAGCCACATCGCACAAGCGCTGCGTCCAGCCACCACAGGAGACTAGTTTGCAGAGTCATGTTTTTACAAAGTGTGAGAACAGCCAAGACTAGTTGATATTCAAAGCCAGGGGACATTCTACGCAGAAAACAGTAGGCCGTATGGTCCATAAGTCTCCTCCTTTTTACACTAAAAGACACAGCTCCCCGACTGAGTGGTCATCAACAGCATCGGCTCTTAAGCACAGGAAGGAGCTCAAACACACCAGACAGGAAGCCTATCCCTGCGTTTGTGTGTCTCGTATTTCAGTTAACTTTATGACAGAGTTGTCTATACCCTCCTCTTCATGCAGCTGGCTAGGACCCAAACCCCAAAGGCCTCCCCTGTATCAGTCCATCAGTCCTGTCTATTGTTTCTAGACAGGGTCTTACTTTGTAGTCTCAGCTGGTCTGGACCCTGACATGCAGACTGAGCTGGCTTCGAACTCAGAGAACCACCTGCCTCTGCCTCCCAAGCGCTAGGATTAAAGGAATGCGCCACCCTGCCTGGCCCAGTATTATTCTTTAGTAACACAGTTAAGCAGTTCTGATTGCTTCACCTCCTTCTCAACTACATGCACTTATAAAGTCCTGCATTCCTGAAGCAAAGGTGATTGACTCAGGGCACTTAGCATTTATCTATTAAGCAAAAACAAGACAGGGCAATTAAGAGCAATTGTATTTATTGTTTTCAATTCACAAAGGGGAATCCCATGCACATAAAACAAGCAAGTTCTAAAATTCTAGTTAACTTAAAAATTATTAATTAATCGGCAGTATTAACATGAATCTACTATGTCCAAAACTTCTCATAAAAAGTTACGGAAGGGCCAAGTGTGGAAGTGCACGCCTTTACTTCCTTAGTTTGAGGCCAAACTATTCTAGTCTGAAAGTTCCAGGACCACTCAGGCAGTGTGTGCCTAACAAGTCCATGCTACATTCAATTCCCAGGACTAGGAGAGGGATAGACATAGATATATAATATTTAATTAAAATGAAAAAAGTAGTTATGAAACTAATGGGCTAATGAACAGGGCGAGATTTTAAGAATTTCAAGCGTTAACTGGCTTCTTTGAAATGCATAATGTGTAGATGGGGAGAGATGAGGTAATGGAAGGATAACGCAATTTTTAAGAACATAAAAGAAATGTCAACGAGCCAGGACCTGCTAGTCCAAAAATTAAACTATTTCTCATTTCCATATAACAAAATTTCTTAAATTAAGACGTGCCCTCTGGGAGCTGGAGGGACGGCTCAGTGGTGAAGTGCACTGGCTGCTCTTGGAAGGCCCAGCTGCAATTCCCAGCACCCTGTGGTGGCTCACAACTGTCTGCAACTCCAGTTCCAGGAGGCCCAGTGCCTTCTTCTGGCCTCCACACGCACCAGGCATGCAAGTGGCCAGACATACATGCAGACAAAACACCTACACATGTAAAATTTTAAAAATTCTTAAATGCACAGATTATAATTACAGTTAAGCCTAACTTCTAAAGGAAACCTAAAACTGCTTCAGACAAAAACTAACTGGCTCCAACAGGGTGGCAAAAGGTATTCTGGAAAAGAACAGCAAAAAGGTCAGAGGTCAAGGTAACACCCACCCACAGGAAAGTAATTGCTTTCTCCATCATGTGACTATACAACCAGACATTTTGAAAGAGGGTGGCTTTAATCTGCTAAGTCACTAAAACACCCTGAATTATTTAACAGCAGTTTAATTAACCTTTCTTCACTTTTCCCTAGACATTCAAGTGTTCGCTTTAGCAAACACCAAGAAAAATATAATCCTAATTTAGTAAGACATTTTAAGGAATAAAATATAAATCCTGTTTTATGACGATTCTTTACATAGTGAATAATACAGATATTGAAAACTATTTTTATGTGCATGAGGGTTCTGCAAGCATATGAGTGCACCATATGCACGCAGGACGTGCAGAGACCAGAAGAGAGTGCCAGAGCCCCCTGGAGCTGGGAGTCTAGAGGGCAGCGAGCTGCCTGGGTCCTCTCAAGAGCAGCAACTGCTCCTCACCTCTAAGCCATCTCTCCAGACCCATCCCAGGTGACTCCATCTGTGGAACTTCTTGAAGAGATTTCCTACCACTACACTGAGCAGTTATGAAAAGCAGAGAAAAGGTGAGCAAGCACGCCTATAATCCCAGAGCTTGGAGACTCAAACAAGAAGACTGCTGCACATCCAAGGCAAAATCCTGCTTCAAAAAAACCAGCAACACCTATTTAGCCCGTATGTGGCTGGGGCTTTGTTTGTTTTCTTTGTTGTTGTGTGAGGCAGCTTACCACTGTGAAGCGATGGATGACCTGGATCTCAGAGACTGGCCTTTTTCTGTCTCCTCAATGTTGAGACTAAAGGCATGCACCACTACATCCAAGCAACATGACCGATTTAAACATTAGTCTGGACTCTGGGACTAATAGCAAATCAAAGTCTTCTAATCCAAAGGGAGGTGAGGTTTCTCTTGCTCGCAGGACAAATATTTAGGTCCTACTTAAAAAAAAAAAAAATTATTATTTTTGGTTTGGTTTTGCTGTTGTCAGTCTTGCTGCCTGCTTGTATGCAATGACAGCATTACGGGACGGCACCACCAGGCTGGCCTGACTGCACAAATTCTCAAATTAGGAAGCACTGCTCTCACGGTGAGCCCCCACAACTAGCTCATCGCCTTTGCTTTGTTCCAGAGTTCTAACATTCTAATGCGACTAACTCCAGGCCTGCCAGAACTGCTGAGCACGTGGCACGCCTCTGCAATCTGAGGCCCTGAAGACCAACCCTGAGCCACCAGAGTCCTTGGTTCAAAAAAAAAAAAAACAAGGTCTGAACCAGGCAAGGTGGCACACACCTGTGATCCCAGCACTTGGGAGGCAGAGGCAGGTGGATCTCTGGGAGTTTGAGGCCAGCCTAGTGTACAGAGTTCCAGGCCAGCCAGGGTCGGACAAGATGGACAGCTCAGCAACTGTAAGCGCTTGCTGCTGTAGCAGAGCACATGGGTCTCAACCCACCCACATGGCAACTCACGACCAACGCCCCTTTCCGATCTCCCTGTGCGCCAGGTACGCACAAGTTGTATACATGCACACGCGAGCAAAACGCTCATATGTATAAAGTTAAATTAACTTAAATAAAAAGGCGGGGCTGGGAAGCAGCTCAGTGGCAAAGGCTTACCCAGACTGCAAATGATCCCCAGCACTGAAGAAAAGAGAAAAAATGGCCAGGGTCCACAGCAGCACAAGCCCATTTCCTAACACTCAAGAGGCAGAGGCAGAAGGCCTGAGAGCCAACAGTCGCTCAGCTACATTAGACTCCTTATAAAAAAAAAAAAACAATTAAAAATTGATATGGGTCAGGATGATGGGGCATGCCTACAACACCAGCACTCAGGGAATGGAGGGATTATGAGTTTAACTGAGCCTGTCTCAAAAAACCCATTCCTGGGGCTGGGGAGATGGCTCAGCAGTGAAGAGCACTGACTGCTCCTCCAGAAAACCCATGTTCAATTCCCGGCACCCATACAAAGGATCCGGAGGACCTGACACGCTCATCCAGCCTCTTTGGGTACCAGGCACATCCAAGGTGCACACACTTACATATAGGCAAAATACTCATATACACTAAAGAAAAAAAAATTAAAAATTAAACTATTCCTAATAATGTCAGACGTAAGATGTCACAGAGAGAGACGCATCGGGAGGATGGTATGTGCCTGTAAGGCTAGCACTCAAGAGGCTCAGGGAGAAAGAACCCCGGCTTAAAACCAGCCGAGGACCAGGTCTTCTGCAAGAGCAGCAAATGCTCTTAACCACTGAGCCATCTCCCCAGCCCTATTTATGTATTTGTGTGTGGCGTGCATGGCCACAGAGGCCAGAAGAGGGCATTAAATTACCTGGAGCTGGAGTTCCAGGTGGTTGTGAGCTGTCTAACCTGAGTACTGGGTCTGACTTGAGTGCCGGGAACCAAACTTATGTACTATGGAAGACAACAGTAAATGCTCTTAACCTGTGAGCCATCTTCCCAGCCCCTTTTAATAGCTAAACAGATCTGAAAACCAGACACAGCTGACAATGTATTATTGTTATGTATATATTCCAAGTTCCTAGGACACTACTAATCTGTGCATCACTTATATGCCTGGAGCCCACAAAGGCCAGAAGAGGGCATCGGATTTGTGGTGGTTTCAATGAGAATGACCCCAGAGGCTTCTGTAGTTGGTGGAACTGTTTGGGGAAGGGTTAGGAGGTGTGGCCTTGTTGGAGGAGGTGTGTCACTTGTGGGTGGGCTTCACACTAGGCCTGGTGTGTCTCTTTCTTGTGCCTGTGGATCAGATGCAATCTCTCAGCTCCCGCTCTAGTGCCAATTCTGCCTGCCTGCTGCCATGCTTCCTGCCAGGACAGTCACAGACTCATCCTCTGAAACTGTAGGCAAGCCCCCAGTCAAATGCTTTTTTTTACAAGTTGCCTTAGCCATGGTGTTTCTTCACGGTAACAGAAAAGTAAAAGACAGGATCCCCTGAAAGTGGAGTTACAGATGGTTATGAGCTGCCAAGTGGTTGCTGGGATCTGACTACTGTTCTCTGGAAGAGCAGCCAGTGTTCCTAACGTTGAACCGCCTCTTCAGCCCCATTGAAAGAACTTTTAATTTAAAATCTCCATTTGAGACTTTGGTGGTAGAAATTCAAGCTGAAAATCAGTTCCCATTCCCCTAAAAGGTTTTCCTTTCTGTGGTGTTCACAAGGTCACAGCTGGGACAGTAGCCACCTGGCTGTGCACTTCTGATTGATGGCTTTACTATGGATTTATCTTGTTGTTTCTTCCTTTTCTGGAGTCAGGATCTTGCTATGGAGTCTACCCTGGCCTGGAATTCAATCTTGTTGCCTATGTCTGCTGAAGGCTAGGATTACAGACTTGTACTAGCATGCCTGGCTTCATTTACATGTTTACACTTTCTCAGCTATATTAGGGGGTCTTTGACAGACTGACTACTCACGGAACCCACCCCTCTTTCTAGTAGTACATCTTATTACAGATGATAAAAGAAATATTAAGTCAAAGATGCTCATTAAAGAAAAGGGGATACAAGTGCGTGGTGGTGCCACCTGTTATCCCAGCGCTGGAGAGGATGACATAGTACCACTGCCTCAAGTTCGAATCTAGCCTGAGACACAGAGCAAGTACCAGCCCAGCCAGGGCTGCACAGCAAGACTCTGCCTCCAAAAACAAAACTAAACTAAACTAAACAAAACAAAAGAACAGGAGTGAGGTGTGAGATGGCTCAAGGGGCACTGTGCTTCCTACCAAGCCCTGAAAACCTGAGTTTTCCTAAACCCCACATGGTAGAAAGAGAAAACCAACTCTTGAAAGTTGCTCTTTGACCTCTGCAAGCACACCATGCACATGCACAGTAAATAAATAGGTAAATAAAAATACCTACATACATAAAATAAAACCCACTCAATCCAATAGCATTGCAGGCACAATTCATTCACAGCAATGGGCACAGAGGCCTATGAAAGGAGCTCTGCAAAGCTGGGTAACACAGGGAGAAATAGTGTCAAGGGAGAGCGTAATAACCACTAGATGCTGAGTCACATGATTCATATCACTTAGTCCAAGAAAATAACCAGAAAAAAAAAAATTAAGCCAGGCATGGTGGTGCACACCTTTGATACCAGTGCTCAGGAGGCAGAGGCAGGCAGATCTGTGAGTTCAGATCTGTGGTCTGCAAAGAGAGTTAGTTCTAAGATAGCCAGCGCTGTTACAAAGAGAAACCCTGTCTCAAAATAAAACAAAACAGAAACAAAATAAGGAAATAACCAGATTTGATGTGTTCAGCTTTCTGTATATTCTGCTTAACACAACTGCTCCAGCCCAAATCATGGTGTAACAAAATGAGCAGTCACAGTCCTGTCAGGGGGTAGTCATCAGCTGGAGGTGGCACAGGTCTGCGGCCAGCACAGTGATGCGCTCTCATAACCCCAGCACTCGGAGGGCTGACACAGGAGGATCAGCCTTGAGGTTATGCTGTGCTACACAGTACGACTGAACAAAGAAGCAAAGCTTCTCCCTGCAGGGTGAGATTCTAGCTAACACTTTCTTTGATCTCCTGCTTTCGTTCTTCTTTGACCAGCTAATAAAGCCACATCCTAACAGCATAAAGGCAACAGTAACACAGAGCTGGCAGCGAGCTTGGTCTGGAGAGTGCCTGCTACCATGCTCCCCAGCATCAAGTAGGGATGGAGAGGAATGTGGCAATCACGGTACTGCTAGACAAAAAAAGTGGGCTTCCCCGAGACTTCCCAAAGATGTAGTAACTGTGGTATTCACAAGCAAATGTCTTAGAGCAGGGCAGAACGAAGGGAAAACTGTCTAACTTCTGCTGGAACTGGATGACTACATGACCTCCCCGAGACTCGGAGATAAACTCGGTTAGGGCATTGTGTGGCAAGTTCACGGTTGTCTTTCAGTAAAGACAACAATGCTTTAATGCTAGACTTCCTTTAAATAAGCTGAGATGCTGCGAGCCAGGGGCATTTGGCTCTAGCTTGTCTTGCCTTGTCTTCCAGCAGACTTCAGTGGAGGACAACCAACCAGGCGGCCAGGAAGGCTGCCCTCATGAGCACTGGCCGCTCTGTGGCTGCCCTGAGGAGTCTGCACAGCAATCGCAGCTGCTCCGTGCTTAACAGGCACCGTCCCAGCCACAAGTGTTCCAGACAACCAGCATAGACACGGGCTGGCCACCACGGGTCTCAGTGGACCCCAGATGACCCTGCGGCTACTTTCATCCACACCAGAAGAGACTCCCTTGGAGGGCCAGCAAAAGGCCTGAGACAGGTACAAATGCAGCTCTTCATGTGTGGGCTCTGCTGTGACTGGTGGAACTAAGTCCTTCAAAATGAGGAACTGTGGTGAGACTGGTACAGAGTACTCTGTTTACACGAAGGTCTACCGTGATTGGTGCAAACACCCTTGCCGCACACACCCGCTCTGGCTCTGTAACTTCTCCAGCATTTTCCTGTGTCGCCCCATGAAAGGCTTGTCTCAGCTGCTGGTGGTGCACACCTGTAATCACAGTACTCCAGGGGCTGAGGCAGAAAGGCTGACTCAAAGGCTGGAAAATGGAGAGGGCAGCAAGAGGAGGAAGCATGCATGGTTCTCGATGAGGCTGAGACACGAGCTGTAACCACTGAGTGGAAGATGGAGCACGGCGCCCTAGTGCAATCCCCTGACAATCACCTGTTTTGCTGGGGGTTTTTTTAATGGTTTTCTTTTTTATTAATCATTTATTTATCTTTTATTTTTATGTATATGTGGCTGTCTGAGCTTATGTACCTCACCACTGCTCGCCGGCACAGCAGCACTTCTCATAATAGCCAAAGGCAGAAACAACCAACTGTCAAAGACAGACAAACAAAATGTGCTGTCCATATTAAAATAACAGCACTTGGCCATAAAAATGAGGGAGATTCTGACAGAAACACTGTGAACTGTGCCATC